TCGCCCTCTGTCCACACACTGCAAACATACACTCACTGTGGTGATATTAAAGGACAGAAAATGTCACACAGAACAGTACAAGTACACGTTGTAGGCCTGTGGTTGTGTTTTATTGTATCACATACAGAGCTGCATATATGTGGTGCATCATTTGGTAAAGTAATTTCAAAATGACTCTTGGGTCAAAAGGTCAAGGTTAGATTTCACATGTCCATATGCAGTGGTGGGATGTAACTAAGTACATTTACTAGATTTGTTTTTCAGTTATACTGACAAGTTACTTTGTAGGTTTATATTCTACACACAAAATATATCAGGATCTTATAAACCAGTGGTTCCCAACTGGTCCAGCCACAGGGTTCAGATTTCTCCTTAGTCATTAGTTCAAGGTCAACACAGTTTAATATATTCAGCGTCATATTTGTCGTCGACTTAGTTTGCTGTCTCTGTTAAGTATCTGTCTGTTATTCACTAGCCTCGTGTCACCAGGCTCTTCACGTACAGGGAAGCGCCTGGTTTCCATTCACTCTGAATTTTGTCTGGATTCTGGTTCCGGTCTAGAGAGCGAATCCGAAATTCACCAAAGTAAAAGTGTTCACCAAAGTAAAACTTTAAATTCTGGTGCACCATCGATGTACAATAAAAGAAAAAGGTTAACTTAATGGCTTGGGGCTTTTCTTGTAAATTATATTCTTTAAATTAAAAAGTTTCACAGCATTTTTATTAGCTTGGTGCTTTTATTTTGACGGAAAGGCACATCCATCGAATTCCGGATCCTGTCTCTCTCACCCTCGTTCTGGTTCCTTACCAAAACGGCCACTAAACAGCCCCAGACTAGTTATTCACTCACGCTACAGCAGGAAACGGTACTTCAAAATAAAAGCTCTGTGCCAGAAATTCACTGTACTTCAAAATAAAGTGTGCTTTTTACAAACAACACATTCTCAAGTCACCTGCGGTCCATTCAAAATGGACCCATGACCCACTTTTGGACTGTGACCCACCAGTTAGAAACCACTGATATGAGATATACCACAATGCCCCCCGTCAATATTTAGAACATGTGTACATGTTCATTTATCCTCCCTAATATGAGGACTTTTATTTTGACAAAATTAATTACATTTACACAATTGATACAGAAAAGGCACAAATTAGTCTATAAAAAATCACCAGAATGCAGAAAATTAAGTGTTTAATGTTCAGAATTTTATGGCAGAGGACCCTGAAAACCCCTGTTTCATGTGTGTTCCTCCCAATGTTGGAACGAAACCTACGAGCTTGACTAACTGTATTCACTACATCTATTTTCCAGTTATACTTAAAAGTTACTTTTCAGGTTTAGATTTTATACACAAAAATATATGAAGATTCAAAGCACCATTATAGATTAACAACATATCTACCAACATTAAAAAAAGTAGTTCGAAATACCTCCACCAGCTGCAACATCAAAATTACACTTAAAGGCTTTAAATGATAATCCACTAATATGATGTATAATCATTTAACACTGACAGAGGCCATTCTGCTGCATGAATACTTCTTACATATTCCTATATACTTTTACATGGGTAATATTTTGAAAGCAATAAGCTGCATGCTGGTAGATAGAAAGAGATACAGGTTGCTGTAATTCTTATTCTGGCCATAAAGATATGCCCTCCTAATGTGACTCCAGTATAAGAGAACAATATGTCCGTCTTGTGTATTTTGTACTAAAAAAGATTGTAACTTTGGAAATACCCACTTTACTTAGCTGAAGACTGTTGAACATTAGCGTCTAATGAGCTTATCTAAACTCTTCAGGGATGGAGTGGACAGAAGAAATAAATACTGAAAGCCATAGCTCTTTAGATGTGCATAAGGGCATCTGAATCTATACTTTAACTTTCATTTGAGCAAATATCTGCAGTTCTTCAGTTAAAATATTGAACATGTGTTGAATATTTGTTCCAGTTTGTTTCAGTTGTTCAAGATGGACAAATAATATGAACACATTTTAACACAGCATTATATTCTATTTTATTATATCATATTCTATTTCTACATCTAAGCTTCTGCATTGTTTCATTTCTTAGATTCTAATTAGATTTTATTGACATGATTTTTTTTTAATACATATTTGTTGGAAGGATCCTAAAATCTAATAATTTCATTGACACTTGAAGAACTTGAACTAATGTAATCCAAGTTCACAATATTTTATTTTTGTTGACAGTGTCTCATGTATTAATGCAACTTGAAGGTCCGTCTTGTGTTTGAAGTGTCATTAGGCACAAAGGAGGTCTGCACACTGTTGGGCTCCAAATGAAAAATTTGTATTTTTTTCTTTTAGGATTTTTTCAAGGCAACATTTTGATGTTCAAGATCTTCTTCTTGCAGATCTAAATATGCCTTATAAAAAGAGAAACATGCCTTAAAGAAAAATATAAACTTTTTATTTGGAGGCTGACAGTGTGCAAACCTCCCTCAGGCCCTATAGTGATATATTTTGTCTTGGACATGAGTATTTCTGCCTTGATGTGTGCATATATGTCCCTATTTTAAGTAGATGCTCACCAGAAGTAAATGAACGACACTTACCACGATATTTATTTGGCAGTGCAACAAATACAGTTTCATTAATTATACTTCCACTCTCCTATTTAATACAAACCACTGTACTGTATTGTCAAAGGTGTTTCTGCCTCTCATTGTATATTTCCAATGTTTATTTGATGTTGCAAAAGAGATATCAATGAAGTTATAATTACCCCATTTCTCTGGTGTTCTGCCCATTAACGTCCCATTGTCTGAGTTCCACACGAAATGCCCAAAGTCCTCACATCGTTGCCCACAAGTCCTCTTCTCCTTCAAGGCGGCCATGATGAAGCTCTGTTCTGACCAGCAACCACAGCAGACCTTTTCTTTTCTTTACTCAAATGTACCTTCTCTTCTTCTCTCCCTCACTTACAGTAAGGCTCACACAGTTATACTTGTGTCCCCGCTCTCCTTCCTGTCCCTCCCCACAGAGTTTGAGGCACTTAGGTTTCTGCTGATGTCTTGTTTGTCTCCTGTCACATACTTTTTTACAGTGAAAGCTAAAACTCACTCCCTGGACGTCGCTCCAGAGTGTGATGTGTGCGTTATCTCTTATTCACTCTTTATAAGGCCGAGATAAGGTGGGCATGATGGCGGTATGATGTCCTTTACTCCTTGGAGAAATGTGAGGATCACCTTGAACAGCCAGGCAGCTCGGTTACCAATGACGACAATCAAGGTGAACGACTGAATATGATTTGTTGAGAAATGATTGACACGTGGAAACATAAACCAGAGCTTGCGTCTGTTTGATTCTGTACCTACCAAAGAGCCAATCTGGGCTTAAAGCATTGAACTTTTCCAAAAGTAAAAAGAAGACATTTTAAAGGACGTAGAGTCGGACAAAATCCTCAAACTTAACAAGGCTGAACCAAATAATGTTGACATACTTATATATGCATATAGTGGCATATGTACAGGACTCTAAAACGAAGAGGAGCTCGCTTGAGCAGGAGTTTTGTTCCTCCTGTGACAGCAGCCCTGAACAATTTCTGCCTCGTTCACACTGTTATGAGCTGGGATGGATGTATGCATACATGCAGATTTTGTGTTCTGTCTTTATCTGTATGTTTCTGTGTTTCACAGAACAAAAAATCTCTGGGACAGGGAATGAATTATTCTGAATATTTGGTGTCATCACCAGGTCAATATTTCAACCTGTCTGGCACTATGGTTTATGACAATATGCCTGCAAAACTAATGGTATTTCCATCAGTCTTTGTGTTTGATGCTAGATAGCTAATTTTAGCATGTGCTGAGACTGAGGGCCCTAGCTTACACCCTGCGCAAAAGCGGCACACAGCACAGCACTAATGTCATTGCTAGTTTGAGATGGACACAGCTGTCGTTTCAATGGCCAGTGCCCACATTGTGCGAGTAGCAAATATAGTTGCACCCAAGATGAGCTGTGGTCAGGTGCATTGATTGCTCATTATGATTGTACCCAAATGCAGCACTCCGAGGCAGGCAGACAGTTGGTAATGACTTTTATTATATACAAGGTAACATGAACATGAGCTGACAAATAATTCTTCAGGCGCAGAGCCCAGGGTCCAGGGAATGAGCCGACAGGTAGGTAATAGAAGGACACACACACAAGGCAATGTGTGGTGTCTCACAGCAGGCGACTGACAGCAGGTGGGAACTCTCACTTTGTAACGTTGTAGCAGGAAAACACTACACAGCCACAGGCAGACAGAAACCAGAGACGCTGAGGCCAAACTCGTGGTCAGGGACAGAAGGCTGGCGAGTTTACCAGGAAGCAGATGACATAGACAGGTTGGGAACAAGCAGGGTCGGTACCAGGGAATCAAGCCAAAAGTGAGTGCTGGAATGTCTTGCATGAGGTTGAAGAACAATCTGAAAGTGAGTGGGTGGAGAGCAGGAGTCTTTATACTGAGCCAGTCAGTGATTGAAAGCAGGTGAGTGGAGTTGGGCTGATGAGGTGGCAGGCTGAGCTGAGCAGGTGAGCAGAGTTGCCTTGATGAGGTGGGTGTGGCTGGCAGCAGGGTGCAGGTGAGGGAGAGACGAAGACTGTGACAAAACTAGACAACAAACCATAACCCAGGGTGAGAGAGAGAGAGAGAGAGAGAGAGAGAGAGGGAGAGAGAGAGAGAGAGAGAGAGAGAGAGAGAGAGAGAGAGAGAGAGAGAGAGAGAGTGACAGAGTGACTGACTGACTGACTGACTGACTCCAGCAGCTTATATAGCTGAGGAGCAGCAGCACACCTGGTATGAGTTAATCAGTGATGCCTCTCCCTGCCAGAGATGCACAGATTGGTTGTGGGTAGATGAAATAATACATCATTGACATGGAAAATATCAATAACATTTTCAAAATTATGAACATTTCATTTGTTTTGCAGATGTTTGGCTAAAAACAAAAGTTACTTCACAGTTTTAAAAATAATTATTTGAGGAATCACTGCTAGTTTTCAGACTGAATGAGTGTTTCTCTCTGGTGTAGGGTTACAGAAAGAGAGAAGGTTTAAAACTGGCAAAGTAAGACCCAAATAGTACAAGACCAGCACTGTGCAGAAGCATGATGTTAACTAGAGTGCACATTTTCCTCTCTGTGCCACTTTCTCTCCCTCAGCTTCAGTGCATTCCTGTCATTACCAGCCCACACATTCATTCATCTCTCCTCCTCCTTCTCTCTTGCCTCTCATCCTCCCATCATGTTTCCCGAGTCTCTGTTGTGTTGCCTTCTCTTCCTCTCCAGCGTGCACATGGGTTAGCACTGGATAAAGCATTACAGTGTTACAGAGTGGATAAATCCCTCTGGGGAGAGGGGATGAGTCAGGTAGATCTGCATGTGTGTGTGTGTGCATGTGTGTGACAGGGAATCTCAGGTTTAATGTATGAGGCAAAAGCTCTCTGTGGCTGTCTGCAGCGAGCAGACGGTCAGATGAATGAAATTTTTTTATTCTGAAGAGGAAATCCACATCACCTCTCATTCATATTTGGATATTAGCCATATATCATCTGCTTCTTTTCTACTTCCCTCTACTTTTTGCTGTCAGGTTTTCTCTGCACTCCTTCCAGACATTCATCTATTCTGCATTTTTTGCTGCATCTCTCACATTTTTCCATTCCTCTTCCTCACTTTCCGACTGGGTCACCATGGATATCGGTGGCCTGACGACAGTGGTGGCCAACTCTGCCTACATCTCAGCCCGCGGCAGCTTTGATGGCACTGCCAACCCTGCAACCAACCGAGACAAGAAGTACCACTCACGCCTGAAGCTGCCTCACATCACGGTGTGTGAAGGCTTGCGGGAGACTTTAGATCTGGGCTTCCAGACAGTCTGCGTGGAGCAGCCCATTGGCAAACGTCTCTTCCAGGAGTTCCTGGACTCCATCAAAGAATACAAAAGCCCCTGCCGCCTATGGAAGGATATTGAGGAATACAACATGGCTGAGGATGAAGACAGAGTCAAAAAGGCAAGCAAGATCTTGTCGAGGTACATGGAGCCGGACGCTAAGTATTTCTGCTCCTTCCTGCCAGAAAACGGCATCACAAAGGTCAAAGAGAAACACCAAGAGGCCGGGGATGAACTTTTCAGTGAGACCATGGACAACGTGATGGACTTTCTCAAGGAAGTGCCCTACACTTTCTTCCTGGAGAGTATGTATCTGAAAAGGTTCCTGCAGTGGAAATGGCTGGAGATGCAGCCAGTGGGAGAGGACTGGTTTATGGATTTCCGTGTGTTGGGGAAAGGGGGTTTTGGGGAAGTGTCTGCCTGTCAGATGAAGGCCACGGGGAAACTGTACGCCTGCAAGAAACTCAACAAGAAAAGGCTGAAGAAGAGAAAAGGCTATGAGGTAAGAAATCAGATCACAACACGTTTGTAGATCAAGAGGAATCTGGAAACATGAGTTGTGGTCGTGTTGTGTACAGTCTCTGCGTAAACCCCCCTCTAAACAAAACTCAGTACCTAGATGGAGCCTGCAGACGACGTAAGGCACCTTTGGCTTATATGATTAGTGCCCTCGGCATTAGAACATTTTGATCTCCTTATAAAGTGCCAGTCCTGCTGTGTTTATAAATGGAGCAGCTCTGGAGTGGATTTCCTAATCAGAAACAATAAAGTGGCTTTAACTTCAGCTCTAGATGTTGCCAAAATGATCCAGTTTACATTAATTTATGAAGCCATGTCAAATTAAACAAAATGTTTCTCTGTACAGTCCTTGTTGATGCTGATACTGCTACACTACAATGATCAAAACCATATAATACAGTGCATTCAAAGTAAGGCTGGTTAGCTCTGTACAGACTGTTTTATATTTTCAACTGCAGCCCTTTGACAAGATGTTTTGAAACCAATAAAGGGATCAAATTCACAGGACAGATTCACAGCAGACAGCATAAAGACACAAAGACAGCATTAACTAACGCAAACAGAAATTCTCAAGGTAGAACACAGGCCATGCAAAGCAACAAGCAACAGCAGAGCATCAGTACAATACAATGAAACAACAGACAGCATGTTAGTACCAACAGACACGGAGCAACATGAAGCAGCAACACAAACATAAAGTTAGCTGTGTTGTTAATAAAATAGATATTACATACATACCAATGCAGAGCTGGCTGCCTGGCAACGGGCAAAGGACGTAAAGCAAGTCAGCGGCATGTAAGCCAGAAATAACAATGATGAGCAATGTAATGTGTTGATTAGAAATGCAGTTTCTCATATCAGATGGAAGAGTCTCCATAGTTTAGAAGCTCTGACAGAAAAGCACGATTGGTCCTTGACTTGTCCTGTAGGGGGCGATGGTGGAGAAGAAGATCCTGGCTCGAGTTCACAGCAGGTTCATCGTCTCTTTGGCGTACGCCTTCCAGTCCAAAACCGAGTTGTGTCTGGTCATGACCATCATGAACGGAGGAGACCTGAGGTTAGAGCTCACTCACTCTCACTCACTGAACACAACATCCCAATGTTTCAGTCCCTCCTTTAGATCCCACATCCTCCCAGGCTCTGCCATAAGGATCTACTTACAACCCCATATTAAGAATTGATATTTTAATTTAGAGATCATGCATTGAATCTCTACAGTGTTCCTTTCTTGCATATCATCTCTCCTGTGCCACTATAGGTATCACATTTATAACGTGGATGAGAACAACCCGGGGTTTGACGAGGCGCGGGCCTGTTACTACGCCGCTCAGATCATCCAGGGGATGGAGCACCTGCACCAGAAGAGGATCATCTACAGAGACCTCAAACCAGAGAACGTTCTGCTGGACAATCAAGGTCAGACACTCAAAAAAAAAGAACATACGCAATCTTACATCATACTTAATACGATAAAGTATGTTAGTATGTGAGTTTGCACAGATCTGTAGTCACTTGTATTTGGTCATGAAACGCAGTGTGAAGTCATTTGGTTTGAAGACTTTTGGGCTTCTCATAGTTGATGGGCTGCTGGTGATTCTTGTTTTAGAGGTCATTTATACATTCAAGACAACATATTGGTTCAACAGTGAATTTATAGAGTACTGCCTGCATTTTGGAGCTCTAGAATATTTGATTCAAACAGTGGTTTGACAAGCCACTGTGAAGCAAAGAACACATCCTTTAATGGCTCAAATCTGCAGCAAACAGCATTAGGCAGGCCAAAAAGGCTTAAACATGCAGTCCACGCTGCAACGTGTTTCGACTTAAACTCTTCTTCAGGCAGCAATGGTAAGTGTGTGCAGTCCTGTCAGCTATATAGGAAGGGGGGAGGATTCAATTAGTAATCACTTCATCTTGGGCAGGTGTGGATAGAGTGTTGTCTGCAACACAGCTGAATCAAATGATGATCAACTGAGACAAACCAAAAAACTCAAAAGGAGCTTTCTGCTGCACAAAAAATGCATGGCATTATAGAAATTGCAATTATTAAGCTGTAAGGCACCAAACAATATACATACACATATACACAGAAGAATATAAACAAAATACACATATTAATGCACAAATGTGTGAGAGGAAATGTGAAGTGCCTGTTTTTTAAAAAAAAGAAGAAGAAAGAGAGAAGAAAGGCTAGTTAATAGAAGCACTGAAAATCTATTTAGGCCATGTGGAAATACTATATTAAAGTAGTGTATCCACCGTGCTTCTGCTTGTTAGTGTTTGCGTTCAAAGTCTCCACCATGAGAAGAGGGTTGAATTTTTTCAATAACCCAAAAGTTTAGTGAGTGGATGGCATGTTTAAGCCTGTATGTGTTGTTTTTTGGCCTGCCTAACGCTGTTTACTGCACATTTGAGCCATTAAAGGATGTGTTCTTTGCTTCACAGTGGCTTCCTTCATTTTTTCTTTTTATGATTTTGCCCTTTGGGTTTTCCACTGTTTTTTGAGATTTTCATTGCAGAGAGTTATACTAGAAGATTAATACTTTTGTGTGTTAAATATGAAGTTGGAGCCAGGAGCCTGTTAGTGAAGCCTAAAGTTAAAGACAGGAAACATGGATGTATTAAGAGACCTGGATGCAGCGTTGAAGGCGGGGCCTCATTCATTCCTATTTAAAGTTGCTCAGTGGTGCATGAAGCCAAAAATTTCAAATGCTGCATATAAAATCGGCACTGCTTCCGCATTGTGTGGCCCACAACGCAGGCGCGCTTGAAACTCCCACCTGCCGAGGTGGCTACTTCAGGTTTAGCGCTCCACTAACTTGAATGGTAATGAAATAGTTTAATCGTGAGGTGCTTTTACATTGTCCAAATTTTATCGGCCCAAATGGATCAAATCCCGCTGGTGAAACAAGTCATTTTGCAAGCTGTGATGCTCAAAAAAATTTATCTAGTGATTTACAGTCGTCTCTTTTGCCATGCAAGACAATTAGAAAAGTATTTTTCGGCCAAGGGCATCATATAACAGATGCAATTCTACTGTTTGCCACTACAAAAATTGGCTTCAAATCCCGGTGCACTTCCTGAGGGCCTGCTGAAAACAGGGGAAAAGAAATTAGCCTGGCTCTGATCAAAGGTGGTAGAATCTGCCTACCAGCACATGAAAAGCTCACTGATTAACATGTTATATTAACATGTTATATCCTTTTTAATCTGCACAATAACTAAAGACAGTGGTGACTTCTGGAGCTTTTGAACGCAGCTGTCCTCATCGTCACACACACTTAGTTGGCTCCAGCTTCATATTTATCATATAGGCAAGAGAGTGCAGTCCTTCCTCTCATCTAACGCTTGGCAAGAAAGTGAATAAGTACATTTCACAAAATGTCAGACTGTTCCTTTAAAACAATCCACCAACCACTTGGGAACAGTACATCAGGTATGGCCTACTAAGTTGTGCTTTTAACGTCATGAAATGAAAGCTCCTCACCTTGACTTTAAAACATGTTCAGTTCTTGGCCTCCTGAGGTCAAAACACACACACGTGTTGTATAAACACACTGAACCACTCACATACACTTAACACCTACACACTGAGTCTTACTTCTAACACAAGGACGTCTTTCAGTTATCAAACAGTTTAACGTGCTGCAGGTCAACATTCGTATCTGTGACGCGCTCGGCTCTTGATATTACCCAGGTGTGTGTTTGTTCTCACAGGTAACGTGCGTATCTCTGACCTTGGCCTGGCTGTGGAGCTGGCTGATGATCAGCTCAAAATCAAGGGTTACGCTGGGACTCCAGGTACAGTCGAACAAAAAAACCCACCACACTGACATTTAACTGGTTGTAGCTGCTCTGACAGCAGGATCTGTGAACGACACCCACACCTGAAAAACCCACAGCTCTGTTTATCTTTCTCACTCTGTCATTAATATTTGACATTTACCTTCACTGTACAGCTGACGGTACCCGACCAGTGTTACCTGAATGACTGAGACATGCCGCCATTTTATAATAGAGCACAATGATTATGACTGTGTTGATCAGCAATATTGTAATAGAGAGTATAAATACAGTATAGATTCAATCTGGTGTTGATTCATCTCCTAATTTGTAAAAAAAAAATACTGGCTTTTAACATGTTTCCTTGTATATTGATGGGATTAGTTCTTGGTATGGCACATGGTAGCCACATGCTGTAGTTTGAGGTGTATCGACGTTTTAATTTAGATAAACTATAAGAGAAACAAATTATTTTAAGTCGTAGATGCATTCAAAGTCAGGTTATTTTAGTGTTTAATGTTGTAGCTGGCAGGGTGTTTGAGGTGTTAGACGACATGAAGTGTTTACTTTTGTAACTTTACACACAGTATTACACAGCTTTTGATTCTTTAAAGGTTAAATTCTGATATTCATCTATTGAATCTATTGAAATCACAGAGGTTTAGCTCTTCACAGACGTACATATGTGGCAGTGTTGAGAAATCTATGAAACAACAGTTCAACCATAAAGAAGGGAGTTCAAATATGGAGGACAGAAGCTGCCAAAATCAGAAATAAATAAATAAATAACTGGAAAAATAAATTAGATATGCCATTAAATGTAGCAAAAATAATATTAAAATAAATGTAAGAAATAATTAATTGATAAAATGTGACATGAATTATTATTTCTGTGTTAATTTGCTTCTTTATGTGTTTACCTTTAATGGCATATTATTTTATTTATTGAGTCATTTTTTTGTTGATTTATTTTTGTTTTGTTTTTTAAATTTTTTTTTAAACATTTGACCTCCATAATAAAAAAAAAGTTAAATTAATGAATATAATGCAAACTGTTTCTATAGCCCAGGTCAGGTGATGCATCACAAAACATACTGTAAACTGATCTATGTGGGGAAAATCAAATATCATAATATATTTGATCAAATGCCTCGATATCAATATTGCAACAATATCGTAGGGTTGACTGTTGGTGCTGTAGAAATCAAATAAGTCCACACATTAAGCAGCTCCTGTTTAGAAGGATTTAAGAAAATTAAATAAGAGTGATGTTTCGAGCCTACTTGATGTGCGGACTTATTTGTTTTCTACTTTGCCAGACGTGTCTTTGGTCCAGCACTCTCTCCATTGGATGCTGGGATGTGAACATCTTTTGTACTGTTTTTGACTATTGGTGCTTCCACAAAATATTTACAATGAGATTTTTGATAAATAATCATCAGTAATGTGGATATAATGACTAAATGACTAAAGGCAAATAATAAAACAGAACAGTCTGATAGGTTTAGAAAATCACATCTCTTTACTAAAATGCAGCCTTTAAAACCAGGGAAAGACAACACTTGAAATATGACAACATTCAAACATTAAGACTCTTGAAATATCTAGTCTCATATCATATCATAATATTGCGATTGATATAGTGTCAATATATTGCCTACCGTATACTAGTACTACTTTATATTACGTAGTTTAATGTGTAATAATCTTTATATTTTCTGAGTTTGTAATTTGTAAAAACTAAATCTGTACCCACTAACCTGTCAGTGCACCTGTGAACAAATGTAAAGGAGTAACAACATTTCCTTTTGATATGCAGTGTAGTACAAGTGCACATAAGTTGCATAAACATAGAATTACTAAAGTGACAGGTGCACTGCTTGAAGTAACGAACATTTTAGCAGTAGCAGCTGCTCCATTGTTAGTGGAGTGAAATCTGATAAGTTGACTCTTTGATCTCAGGATTTTAGTTTGAAGAGATGCAGTATATGTACAGATTAACTTAAGTATATTTTTAACAAAGATATAGATGTATTTAGCAGTTTAAATTGCAAATGGATCCTTCGTCTTATCCAAATGCACTGACACAGAAAGGTTGTGACCTCTTTTCCTATCACTGTAGAATGGTAGTACAGCATACTTATATTTATATCTATATTTTCATACTGTAGACATAGCTCTGCTCATTGTTACATTGCACTATTTATCCTGCTTTACATTACTATAGTTCTTATAGTCGCATAGCATTATCTATATTTATATCCATACTGTCATATATCTGCTGATAGACAACTCATAGTGTTGACTTTCAAAAATACACACTGAGAGATAATCTCACTGTTTTATTCTGCTCTTTGTTTGTCATCTTATGCTGTACTTTGTGTATTTGTGTAAACACCTTGGGGTGACATTTCCTTTCTGTGTACTCTGCGTGTGGAAATAACAATAAACAAACTTTAATTTCACTTTTTCCTCTCACCTGCAGGTTTCATGGCTCCAGAGCTGCTTAAAGGAGAGGAGTACGACTACTCTGTGGATTACTTTACCCTGGGGGTCACTCTGTTTGAGTTCATGGCTGCCAAGGGCCCCTTCAGGACCCGGGGAGAGAAGGTAAACATCCTGTGTGACCTGTGTTTCCTGTTGTCAGCCCATGTTCAGAGCTGTTTTAACATGTATTCTGTGCTTCAAACATTTCTTTGTTTGTTAAATTTCCTCTGCCTCTTCCCACAGTGGTCTTAGCTCTTACACACATATTTCTGTCATGTGATGTTTAAACCAGCTTTTACTAAACCCGTGTGATAATACAGTGACAGGCTGTAAAGATTTGATGGCTCAACTTTGTCCTCTTGTGGCCTCATGTGATACTGCGCTGAAATATAAAGCTGTGATTTAACCAGTGCTGGAAGAAGTATGAGCCAAGAAAAAGTAGCAATACCAGTCTGTAAAAAGTGTGACATTAAATGGATTTCATTACATATTTGTTCATCAAGCATTAATGTGGCCTGCACTGAGGGTTTACAGTGTTAATTGTGCAGCATTTTCAGATGACTGTAGCTACATAAACCTGAATACTCTAAATTTACCTGCAGATAAATAATAAATGTGCAGGTCTGAATTGGTTATTCCCTTTTAAGCTTTCATTTTTGGTGCATTGAGTCAGGTATAACAGGATAAACGTGTGTTAAAGTTGGACTTGTGTTTTAAATAAGAGGTACAGATGCATCTGTTCTGTCCTCTGTGCTGTTCCCAGGTAGAGAATAAAGTAGTGAAGAAGCGTATCCTGAATGAGGCAGTGATGTATCCAGAGAAGTTCAGTGAAAACGCCCGCTCCATCTGTGAGGGTCTGCTGGTCAAAGAGGTCGACAAGAGGCTCGGCTTCAAGAACGGATCTTGTGACGAGATCAGGGCGCACCCCTTCTTCAGAGAGATCAACTGGAGGAAACTCGATGCAGGTGTGTTCCATATCATCAAAGTTTCATAGTCGTTACCAGTCACTGTTTGGTTGATTGAAGTTAAACAAACTAAACGTCCATGAACCACTCGTGTCTCCTCAGGGATCCTCACACCCCCTTTTGTGCCAGACTCAAAGACAGTTTACGCCAAGAACATCGATGACGTTGGGGCCTTCTCCACTGTGAAAGGTGTTCAGCTGGACAACAAAGACAATGACTTTTATGATGAGTTCGCCTCGGGGAACATCTCCATCCCCTGGCAGGAGGAGATGATCGAGATGGGGATCTATGGCGAGCTCACAGTCTGGGGACCTGAAGGCACACTGCCCAACGACCTGCGCCGAGAATCCATCCTGGAGCAGCCGCCCAAGTCCTCCACCTGCACGGTGTCGTGAGAGGTGACCATGATGCTCCACAAAACACCTAATGGAAGATTTTACATGAACTGTTTGTTTCTTAAGCACTTTTTGTACAAGACGTCAGTACGTTTTAGTGGTGAGGCTGAGTGTGGAGGATGATGCATGCCTCTAAATGCAAAACCTTTTTTACTTTTAGCTCTATACTGTTAAATCATGTTACATGTCATGTCTATACTGTTGCTCACTTTAGTCTCATTTTCTTGAGGTAGAGGAATGAATGATCAGCTGTTATGTGTGTGTGTGTGTGTCAGTGTGAATAAACTGCAAGTTAAAAAAAAAAACATTTCTATTTCCTACCACCATTTTTGTTTGTTTCCACTTTTTGCTTTTGCTTTATCATTTTGCAGAAGTGTAAATAAACTTGTGTCCCTTGCTGCAGAGATGTTCAATTGAATTGAAATAAATATTTTGACATTAAAATCAGCGTGTTTTGTGTGTGATTGACACATTAACGTGAAGCTTCATTCAGGGACCAACAGATCTTAAAGAGCTGCCAGGATTTTAAAATCTGAAATAATTGAGAACATACTGAAACAATCTCTGTTGGCTGTGCAGATGTACACGCACAGCTCTTAGTTTTAATTTAGTGTGTTGCATGTTTTAAAGCTAACAGTCCAGTAAAATATATATCACTGAACAATAATGTAAAAACTGTATTTGTACTAGCTTCTGAAACGATGTGGAAAAGCTTTCACTGATATATTTAAAGAGTTGCTCACAATGATTTGTACATTACAAGAAATACTTACAATACTTAAATACTTACTTCTTTGTGTTTGATTCCTTGCTTTTTGACTCTGCTTAGCTTTATAGACTTTGCTTTTTGTGTGTTTTCCCTGAATGGATTTTTCTGCCCTCTCTGACTGCCTTCACTTGTTTGACCCCTGACCTCCTAGATAAAGATTTAGATTTGATAAACTGTTCTTGGTGTTTTTGTGTGTTCCTCTGCAACTGAGTCAGGTTTTGTACCAGATCGTTACAACTACAAACTCATTGTTAACTCAGCTGTTAGTAATTTGTCTTTATCATTAAAACAACAGCTGTCCCTCAGGGTCACTGTCATTTCCACCACAATGTAGGCTACAACATGAATTTAAAATGTTTTATTGTTTGTTATTGTTTTGTTTTTTCTTGCTGCCAGTGTTATATTACTAAAATATTGTATCAGTAGCCTGAATTTTTCTAAACATATGTCAGATTTTCTAAAAAGTTTCCAGACCAAATGGACCATAGTTGAAGAATTGTGGAAGCGTATTGCATTCAAAATCTGTTTTGAGTAATTTTTTCAGTTTTCGGTGTAATTTTTTCTGTTTTTCGAGGTTTTTTTGTTTTGTTTTGTTTTTTGGGGTAATTTTTTTCTGTTTTTCTGAGTGTTTTTGAGTTAAGAGAGCAATAGAACAACAGATGCTTTCATTCCTTTCTTGAGAGCTTGATATAATGGAAGCAGACATGACCCGCTTGTTTAGTTTAATCCAGTTTTACTTTGTTTTGGGTTTGAGACACTAGGAGATACTCTTGTCTTTAAGTCATATAGATGGTGTTATCATCAGTTTGTCGACTTTACCCAGGCACCGGTCACTTGCAGGTGTCAGGTGGGAGCGTTTCCTCGTTCAGGAAAAAAAAATTACCACGAAAAACAGAAAAAATGACCACAAAAAAAAACAGGAAAAAAATACCCTGAAAAACAGAAAAAAATTACCACGAAAAACAGGGAAAAAAATTACACCAAAAAACAGAAAAAAATAAATGACTCAGAAAACAGAAAAAAATTACACCAAAAAACAGGGAAAAAAATTACTCAGAAAAACAGAAAAAATTACACCAAAAAAACTGAAAAAAAATTACTCAGAAAAACAGAAAAAATTACACCAAAAAAACAGAAAAAAATTACTCAGAAAACAGAAAAAAATTACACCAAAAAACTGAAAAAAAAACAACTCAGAAAAACAGAAAAAATTACACCAAAAAACAGGAAAAAAAATTACTCAGGGAAAAAAAAAACAGAAAAAATTACACCAAAAAAACTGAAAAAAAAATTACTCAGAAAACAGAAAAAATACACCAAAAAACTGAAAAAAATGATTCAGAAAAACAGAAAAAAATACACCAAAAAACTGAAATAAATAAATAAATAAATAAATTACTCAGGAATAACAGAAAAAAAATTACTTCTTTTATTTGTCAAGTGAATGCAATACGCTTCCGTAAAGAATGGCCCTAATTAATTTATATTTAAAAAACACTGAATAAAAGGACAAGCTGAGGATCCTGTTTAGCTTGTGTTTCCAGTATTGGCCGATAGAGGGCGCTTTAAACTCACATTACAGTTTGTCCTACACCTCAGCGCTGCAGCATCATGACCACTCACTTTACAGACATTAAAACACACACAGCAAAAATTAATCACTTTATTCACCTTTTCATCATATAGTATAGAGTTTAGCCACATATTTTAAGTATTTCCAGCATGAACAGCATGAATCTCGTGTTAAATCTTTATGAAACTTATATAAGACAGATAATTGAATAATTTATCAGTGAGGCAAATACTGGCAGCTGATTGGTCCCTCTCTGTCTCTCTCTCTCTCTCTCTCGGGTTTCAAGAAAAGTTGAACTGGCCGCAGCTCAGAGTCACCTGTTCAATTTATTTTTCAAATCGCACCTTTATTTACCTTAAACATGTTTTAATTTCCAGAAAAAGACGCATCTTACTCGCAGCTTGTTGCCTGTGGAGGACTGAGGGCGGTTTGAATCAACAGGGACAAAGAACAGCTCGACCAGAGCACTACAAGCGTCGCTTCAGCTGCCTTATCTCGATTTTTTGAAGAAGAAAATCATTTTTTAACTTATTTGCCCGGACTGAGTGAAGATGCAGCAGCCTGACAGCCAGCAGACAACAGCTCAGACAGCTCAGACAGAAACACTGGATCCAGCAGGTACAGTGAAGTTTCATCCTGAGGTCTCCTAACCTGAGTCTGCATGGAGCTGCAACTTACAGCAGCATCTGCACTGTCATTAATAATTATCGTTATTTATTTTTCCTTTTTTTTCCTCTAGTGTGTGCATGTGAGAGCATAAAGTTATTCTCAGCAAGGACACAATATATTCCTCAGGTTTCTTCTTTTAGATGAGAAATAAATACTTAAAGTGCTTCTCCCACAGTCTCATCTGCAGAGGTAGTTACATTTACTCAAGTACTGTGCTTAGATATATCCCTAAACTGGGTGTACTCGTTAGTATACTGGTTAGCACTGGTTATATACTGGTAAACTGGTAGAACTGAATTCTGTATTGTTCTATAAAAAACATGTACTTTGAATATTCATCTGAGTCACAGACAGTCAAAGGTTGAATGTAACTTAACTCCAGTGCTGTAGTTAAATACAATTTTAAAGGAAATACATTTATTTGACACTTATAGTTACTAGTTGGGTAACTTCTTACATATACATAGGATCAATATCATGATACTAATCTACAGCAGTACATAAAATATCCAACATTTTTGCTCCACATTGACGAACTACAACATGAACATGCTCTTAAATGTGTTAGTGATGAAAGCAACAAGGTGATAAGGAGCCATTGTGAATAGTAAGCACTTTAACTTTTGATATTTTAAGTTAATTTGGCTGATAGTACCACTGTAAATCCAGGACTTTTAATTATAGTGGAGCACTTTTTGAGCATGGTATTTTGGCTTAAGGCCCTACTTCTTTCACCACTGGTTACTTTACTGATCAGGATTTTTCGAATCTATACCACTTAACCACAAAGTTCTTGCACACTATAAAGCCTTACTAATACCGCCACTAAAAACAAAACTATGGCCGTGAAAAGATCAAAACTCCTGCAAACTGTTGATGACAAAATCTAGAGGAGGCATATGCAATGTGATGTCTTGTTATGAAGTAAATCAAACCACTCAGCAGTGTATAGAACAGGTAGAAAGAGCTCCACCACAGCCAGCTATGAACACTTATTTTTGATCGATTGAATACATTTTGTTGATGATTACCTGAATAAGAATTTAAATGTAGGACTTATTTTTGACCAAATACCTCTGTGCTTTTGGAACATTCATAAAATATTTACTCAGAGAGATTCTTGAGAAATAATCATTAGTAATGTGGATATAATGACTAAATGAGTGGAGGCAAATAATGTGTGGTTAATTGAGAAGATGACCTCACTTGCCTTTATGCAGTCTTTAAAACCAAGAAAACACACACTTGTGATACTACAATATCTCTAACCTAAGACTATATCTCGTCTCAAATTAACAAATCGATATAGCATCAATATATTTCCTTTATTTATTGCACTACTTGCATTTGAAAATGTTTACATTGTTGCACTGGTACTTTTACTGAAGTAAATCTGCAAATTTCTTCACCACGAAAACATTTAAAGGGAAATTAAACAGGATATGCGCATGCTGTCTTGAGCAAAATGGAGGTTAGAGTTTTGGATTTAATGGTCAGAGTTAGAGACATGTAATTCAGAGGTTTCAGGATGTAATAAGTCTAAAGACGTCCTCCTGTCATCTCTCCTCAGCTCACTACCTGCGTCGCAGGAAGACGGCTCTGTTGGTGACCGTGTCTCTGCTGGCTCTGGCTCTGCTGGTGCTTGCTGTGGGTCTGGTCTCTGCCACTCGCACCGACAACGTGCCTGTTGCTGGATATTATGCCGGCATCACTGTGAGTGACTGTCACCTCACCACTGACCTTCACAACCTTTACATCTCTATGTCCTGATACTCTGAACATGCACTAATATCATTAACCCTTCACACACTGTACGATTGTGACATGGTGTTGTTGTCTTGTACCTCCAGCTGAGTTTTGGAGCGTTCCTGGGTATTGTTGGCATCCACCTGGTGGAAAATCGCCGTCCCATGGTGAGTCTGTTCCTCTGACACTCATGTCATCGTAGCAACCCATTTAAAATCACATGATGATGGTGGTTTTATTTATTCCATCCCATTTGACACCTATGTCGTCTCATTTAGACCTCTTAACGTGACCCACCATAGACACATTTTGGTCTTTTTTAGGGAGGACAGGGGATCTTTGTGGGGAGATAGGAGGTCAACAGTGTATACCACATAAAGATGGTATATATCACCTGAAAGATGGGAGCCTGAAGATTAATTTGAGATTTATCTCAGCACTGTGTGTCAAGTTTTTCTAGTCATAGATACTGTATGTATTAAACATTGTGTTTTGGTTAGGCGCCTACTCAAACTTTTAAACTTTCGAGTATAAACGGGCTTAAAACATTATGATTTAAGTTTTTTGGGTTGATACCATTTCTTACACAGACTTTTTACTAAATTTAAGCATTTTTTTAACAATTGAGAATTGATAAAAATGGTCAAACATTCCTCCAAAATACCATATTAAGACATCAAAGACCTT